TTGGCGCGGCTCACTGTTCTCTTCACAAACGGTCCGGGTAATTGGCGATACATATCTAATATCGCCAGTCAACGCCTCGCTCCCTGGATGTTTCTGACAAGCGGAGAGGGAAACCCTGTAGCTTTCAAACACACAGCGAAGCCTCCTCAGCTCCGCATCGCTGCAGCTGCCCGATTCAGCGCCTGAATGTTATTCTGTTTCCCTCGCACGCCAGGCCCTCGGAGAAGCCAAGGGGTGTCCTTACAAATTCACACAGGCAAAGAAGAGTACTTTATACCGGGAGAAAAAGAGAGGGCCCGCTTGTGTCCGTGAGGGACCCCCCCTCCTCCTCATTCATCGCGAGGCATGTATGATCTGTTGGCTTTTCCTCTGCCCTTGGAGCATTACTCTTCACAGAGAAGCATGATCCAAGGCAACAACAGCTACAATGAGGGCTTCTCCAGAGGGCTTCTGGGTATTAAACAAAGGGCCCTGTTGGTAGGAACAAGCCAAACAAACAGCTGGGCTAATAGAGTGGGACTAATTAACTACAGGGCCGCTCTCCGACTCTCCCTGTCGGAGCTGGCTAGATGTTTACAAAGACCTCCCAGAGAAAAGGAGGAGAAAAATAAGAGGCTTTCTTCTTTGTCTGCTCTTTTCGGGAGAGAGGAGACACCCAGGACTGATTTTAATGACATGTGTGAAGCAAATGTGATCCACCCTCCATTTTCTTCTGTGGAATTCAGTGCTAGAAAATACCACTGGCATTGTGGTCAAAGCTAAAAACACCCACAAGCACCGACTCAGCAGTTAAGCTTGTGTAAGCAAAAAATAAAAAGCATATTCTCTTTAATTGCTGATATTCTTGCTTTGACACAGATCACGGCTAAACACCTGCCGATCAATACAAGTCCCCAGAGCTATCAATAAATATCTCCTTTTTAAAACCCACATAATCATAACCTTGATTCGGTTGCATTAAATGAATAGCTTCTCCTGCATTTGAGTGAAACAACATGTTTGTGGATATCTCTGATCTTACGTAAAGAAGAGTCATCCTCACTGTAGCGGCCACTTGCTGTTTATAGTGTTTATTATTATCATTTATTTATGTATTCTTAGTTAGTGTCATAAGTTAAAGTAGTTTCTATGCTTTTATTTTGAAGGCATGTTTTGGGCACTGGGTGATTAGAGCACCCTGTGTAATATTGGAGACCAACCCAGTCTCACGGCATTTCGTGTTCACCAACACGACTTTTAATCTATTGATTCGTGTTCCCCAACACGATTTGCCCCTTTTTTTTCGTGTTGCACAGCACAATTTTTTTTCGTGTTGCACAGCACGATTTTAAAAGCAATGTATTTCTATTGCCTGCAGCACGTCTTTTTCTCCGGTCGGGTCGAGGAAGACCTGAAGCTGTGTGGTTCATAAAAACATGTTCTTACTCAATATCAAGCCACAATTATTGCTTTTATTTTAAATCGTATAATTTCGGACTTTTGTTGCCGTCTGTGAGGAAAATAAATGGGGCTCAGAGCCTCAGAATACTGAAATCTGTATTTTTAAAATATTTGTTTCCTTCTAATTTGTTATTCTTTTCAAAATAACACACTGTTATTTACTCACCAATAACACACAATTATCCTTGATTTTATTTATTGGTTTAATTCCATAATCTCGGGCTTTTTTGGCGTCCGTCAGGAACTGAATTTCAAAATAAAATATCCGGAAACAGACGTAGGACTATAAGGGACATTTCGAGCGTCATTGCGATTGTCAACCTTTCTGAGTTTAGGATGGCCGAAGACACTACACTACCCATAATCCCCAGCTATCGTTTAGGACTACAGTCCCCCGTAAGGTTACGCAGAGCGTCAAACAGCTGTGTGAAATGGAACGAAACCACGCCAGACTATCCAAAACTGGAATCGAACGCCCCCCCCAGAACTACACATGCTGGATGCTGGCTATTGTGTTTCGCCAAATGTTCTATGGGACGTCTCTACTGAACGTTTTCGTTTTTCCCACAATTAGAAGTTGCCAGTATTAAACACATTGGCGTTATCAAATGTAAAACTATTATATATTATTTATTATAATTAATACATGGGTGAAAATCGCTATATATACCCACATGACAGCTCATTGTTACTTTGTAATTCTACTCCACTACAATTCAGAGGTTAACCTGGTATTTTTACTCCACTGCATTTATTTGAGTTACTTTGCAGATTCTGATTAATTATGTGAAATATAAACAACCCTTAAATCAGACTTTAGTTACACCTGAGTAAAATTCAGGTAAGGTGATTGTCAAGTGCCAACAATCAGGAGAGATATTTGATAGTTGGTGCTTGAGAAGACTAAACATGTATCTGCAATTGACATGAATGGAAACGAGTAATAAAGTATATTTATTACTCGTTATTCTCCACTAATAGTTAATTAAAGACTGCATATTATGGCTATTTTGCACATCCCTTTCAAGATTTTCAAAGGTGTATTGACATATCATATACACAACTACGGTGTAGTTATGCAATGAATGAAACACTTGGGTCACAGGTTCCTCAACAGTGCATTACAAGACATCTATCAATATGTGTGAACCTCCACCATTAAACTGTCATATTCTGCACATTTCTTATTCTATCTACATACATAAGAGTATAATTCATATGTATAATATCAGTTAAAATAAGTGCTTCAACATAGTTAACATTGCAGGAAAGCAATATATTAGACGTTAAGTACTTTGTCAGGCTTAATATTTATCTGTAGATAGATACCCCCAACGTTTTTTTCTTATTTAAAAGAAGACCTTAATCTGTTATTTAATGTTTAAATAAAGGTTAATTCGTTTTTCTGTTTTGCACCTCCTCCTATTAATATCTTTGTACATGCTGCACTAAACTGTTTTATTGTAGAGATCACTTTATAGTATCTTCTTGATTTGTTATATTCTATATTTCTATATTTATACTTTCCCCCTATGAAAGTATGTACTCTTAATATTATTTTAATCAAACACAATAATTCAATAACGTGCTTTAACCACTAGATGCACACAAGGTACACAAATGTTTTCCGGATTTCATATCATATAAACACCAAATCCCAGCATGCATTGCGGTTAAAACATCCAATAAGCGAGCTTAAAACCATAGCTGAGGATCTTGGGTAATGCCTATGTCCGGTTATTTTTATTTTGAAATTCAGTCCCTGACGGAGGCCAAAAAAGCCCGAGATTATGGAATTAAACCAATAAATAAAATCAAGAATAATTGTGTATTATTGGTGAGTAAATAACAGTGTGTTATTTTGAAAAGAATAACAAATTAGAAGGAAAAAAATATTTAAAAAATACAGATTTCAGTATTCTGAGGCTCTGAGCCCCATTTATTTTCCTCACAGACGGCAACAAAAGTCCGAAATGATATGATTTAAAATAAAAGCAATAATTGTGGCTTGATATTGA